TGTCTGTAGGATCTGTAATGATGTCCTCCTGTGCCTGTGAGAAACAGCTTTGCCAACTGAAGTGTAGAGCTTTTATACAGTTCCGTTTGCTTTAGTCTGACATTTCCAGTCAGAATGCTGTTTTCCAAAGGTACTTAGGTCAGCAGCTTTTTTTCTCTACTTCATTTTTGAAGACATTTTCATTGGATATAGAATTCTGGCTTGCAGATTTGTTGTTGTTGTTGTTTTTCTCCTCAGTGCTTTAAAGATGTTACTCCATTGTCTTCCAGCTTGCATGGTTTCTGAGGGAAAGTCGGCTGTAATTCTTCATTTCTTTGCATGCGGTTTGTATTCTTTCTTTGCCAGCTTCAAGATTTTTTAATCTTTGTTTTTCATCAGGTTGAGTATGATATCTCTACGTGTTTTTCACCTTTTTTATTTAGTATTTATTTTGCATAGTGTTCTCTGAGCTTTTTGTGGTGGTGGTTGTTTTTGAGACAGGATCTCACTCTTTCCCCCAGGCTGGAGTGCGGTGGTGCTTGGCTCACTGTAATCTTAAACTCCTGGGCACAAATGATCCTCCCGCCTCAGCCTGCTGAGTAGCTGGGCACATATCATTGTGCCCAACAAATGTTTAAATTTATTTTTTATTTTTTGTAGAGATGGAGTCTCACTTTGTTGGCCAGGCTGGTCTTGAACTTCTGGCCTCAAGTGGTCTTCCTGCCTTGGCCTTCCAAAGTGCTGTGATTACAGGCACGAGCCACCATGCCTGGCCTCTCTGGGCTTTTTGGGTCTGTGGGATGATACTGTCTCAGCTTGTTGAGGCTGCTATAGAATACCTTAGACAACAGAAATGTGTTTCTCCCAGTTCTCAAGGCTGCAAGTCCAGGATCAAGGTGCCAGCAGATTTGGGTCCTGTGATGGCCTATGTCCCAGTTCCTAGATGGGGCCTTCTATCTGTGTCCTCGTGTGGTGGAAGGGTGAGGGGTCTTTCTGGGGTCTTATTTATAAGAGCAGTGATCCAATTCATGAGTGCTCCACCTCTATGATCTCGCCACCTCCTAAAGGCCCCTCCTCCTAACACCTTCAGGTTGGGAGTTAGATTCCAACCTTGGAAGACACATTCAGTCTAGAGCGAATGCCTTTCATTCTTTCTGGAAAGTTCTCTGCCACTGCTCTCTCTCTCTTCACCTTCTGGGATTCCAGTTAAACATTTGCTAGGACGGTGCTTATCTTTTGTTTTCCTTTTTCACTTTTTTCTCTGTGTTTTGGTTTGGGTAATTTCAGGTTGACTGACTTTTCCCTCCTGGCTGTGTTGAGTCTATGGCAGAGCTGCAGAAGCCTTCTTCATTTCTGTCTGGTGTTTCTAATTGTTGGCATTTCCCTGTGACCCTCTGTTAGTTTCCATTTCCCTGCTGAACTTCCCCACTGCTCATGCATTTTGTCCATCTTTTCTACTGGGGCCTTTCACATAGAAGCCATAGTTATTTAAAATTCCCTGATGGTTCTGAGGTCTCCTCAGTCCAGCTCTGCTAATTGTGTTGTTACTTGACAGTGGTTTGCTTTTTCTAATGTTTTTGTGCGTCTTGTACTTTTTGATTGATTTGATTGATTTTGACTTCAGATATAGGACTTCAGACTGAGGTAAGTAATATTTATGCTCAGAAACGGGCATTCCCCTTATACTAGGCCATTTATGTGGGGTTGAGTCCAGCTGGTCAGGGGTTGGCCTGGAGTCGGGTTTTGCTGCAGCTGTTTTTACCCTCAGTATATGACCCGGTTACAGACTCCCCTGGAGTTACTTGGTGTTTGGGGTGAGTGGGTGTTCCTGCCCTACTCTCCACAGCGTTGGGCTTCCTCCTGTGCTCACGCTGCAGATACAGAGGTGGTCTCTCCCCACATTGTTTCCCCTCCTGCAGCAGGAGGTTCATTTGCTGGCTGTTGGGAGCCTGGCAGCCGGGTGACGGTTGTCTCCTTGTAGCCTCAGTCTCAGGCAGGCCTGGTCTCAGGAGCGGGGGTTTCACAGAGACCCTTCCCTCTCCCTGCAGCAGTTAAACTCTGCTTGAATCCTTTGCTGGTCTTTAGTGTTTTCTGCCTCTCCTGCAGTCCTGTGGTGGGCCCAGGAAGGCGACCTGCCCCTTTTCCAGAGACATGAAGTGCGTTTTGACCCTTTCTTAGCCACTGTGGGTGTTCACGGATGCCGTGGGGCCACAGGGCTCAGCCATTGCTGCCCTTAACCCATAGGCTTGGGCTTTTATTCTTCAGGGGAGAGGGGCTTCCTGTCTTTCAGCTGCAGGGCCGCCGGTCTGCTGGCACCTGCGCCCCAGGGGTCCTGCCTTGTCCTGTGCTAGGCTTTCTCTTGAGCCCATGGAGAAGAGCTTGTGAGTGCATGTGGCCGCCCAGGTGGCTTCATTCTTTTTGCCTACCTGGGTGGCCCCTGGGGTCTCCCGTCCTTTCTCTGCTGCAGAGGCCAGTGCTCCCACCGTCTCTCCTGGGACTCTCTTTCTTTCGGTTTCAGGCTACTCCATGGCCCTGATGCTTCAGCCGTCTGATGAGTCCAGGCCTTTTCGTATTGTTAGGTTTGGGCAGCAATCTTTCCAGCTTCCTAGTCATAGGCAGAAGGGGAGCTCTCCGAACCGGTATACATTGCATTTCTCTAGTTGTGAGTCAGCTTGAACAGTCTTTTCATATGTTTAAGCACCAGTTTTATATCCTCTGTGTGTAAATTTCCTGTTTGTGTCTTTTGCCCCCTTTTTTTTTTTTTTGGTTTCCTTGAAGTTTTTATGAGCTCTTTATATGTTAAGGATAATATTTGTCCTTTGTCTCTGGCATATGTTGCAAATATTTTGTCTTTGCTTGTCTTCTGTTGTCTTTCTGCGTTGCTTAGGGTGTTTTTTGTTTGTTTTTTTGTTTTTTTGTTTTTTTTTAAACCATGCAGAAGTTTTTTTGTTTGCTTGCTTTTATAAAAGCTGTGACTTGCGTCAGTCTTTCCTTTTATAGTATTTTGATTTTGAGTCCTACTTGGGAAACTTTTCCCCACATAGAGGTTAAAGGAGAATTCATTCTTCTGCCCATGCTTTCATTGTTTTGTCTTTTCTGCATTGATAGCCATGATCCATTTGGAGTGTATTCTTTTTATTATGTGAGGTATGAACCAATTTTTTTTCCCAAATGTCTAAGCAGATGTCTCAGCACCATTTACGAAAAAGTCCTTCTTTGATTTGTGATGCCGCATTTATCATATACTAAATTTCCATATGTACGTGGGTCTATTTTTAGACTTTCTTCCTTATTCCATTGGTCTATTTATATTTTCATGCACAGTTTTAATTATAGAGGCTTTCTAGCATTTTAATAATAGCGATGTAATTCACATATCCTAAAGTTCACCCTTTTGAAGTGTATAATTCAGTGAATTTTAGTCTATTTACAGTGTTGTACATTCATTACTATCAAATGCCGGAATATCTCCATCCCCCTGAAAAGAAAGCCCACATATATGAGCAGTCACTCCCTAGGCCCCCTCCCCGACCCCGGCATCCGTCTGTCTGCTTTCGGTTTCTGTGGATTTGCATCTTGCGGCCTCTCGTGACAGTGGAATCACACATGTGTGGTCTTTGGTGTCTGGCTCCTTCCGCCTCGCACGGTGCTTTCAGGATCCGTTCCTGTTGTAACGTGTGTCAGGACTTCACTCTCTAGGACTCTGAAAGTCCGCAAGTGTCAGCCCTTTTTGTTTAGCGTTTTCCCAGTTATTCTTGTGTCTTTGTTTTCCTAGATGAACTGCCTGTGATGAACTGCCTGTCAACCCGTCCAGCTCCATAAAGACACATGTTGGTATTTTTATTGCGATAGGAAAACTGACGTCTTTGTGATACAGTCATCCTATTGAAGAACAAGGGATAGCTTTCTATTTGATCAGTTCTAGTTTTCTGAACTTTAAAATACTTTAAAGTCCCCTTGAAGAGCTTTTTCCCATTTCATGTTAAATTTATTCCTAGGTATACTGTGTTCTTTGTTGCTGTTGTAAATGGGTTTTTTCCTACCATGACCGTCTCAGACTGGTTTCTGTGTATGTGAAGGCTGTGAATTTCTGTATGTTAATTTTATATCCTGATACTTTACCAAAGTCTTTCATTGTTCAGATTTTAACATTGTTTTGCTAGGGTTTTCCAAGTATACTGTCATATCATTTACAAGCAGAGAGAATCGTGTTTCATTTCTTTCTTTGTTTTTAATGTCTTGTTGATCTCTTGTTTTACCTGCATTGGCTGACACCACCAGAACAGTGTGGAATAGGACTGGAGATAGCTGGCACCTTTGTTTCCTTCTTGATATTCGGGAATTGTTCCTAGTGTTTTTTATTAAGTAAGGTGCTCGTTTAGGATGAAAGGTTCTTTGTTTTATCATTATAAGACAGCTTCTGTGTTTTCATCAGGAATGAGCATTGAACTCTGTTGATGCTGTTTTTAACATCTGTGGAGAAACTCACCAGCTTTTCCCCATAGGTTCCTTAGGTTAATATGGTGTAGTGCACTGATGAGTGTCCTCTTGTTGAACTAGCCTTGCATTCCTGGGAAAAACAAGCAGAGGGGTTTTGGGTTTATTTATTAGTGTTTTATTTAGTATTTTTGCATCAATATTGATAAGATGTTCATTTGTAATTTTTTCTTGTTTTTAGGTTAGGTTTATTAGGTTTTGGTGACATGGTCATACATGCTTCATAAAAGCAATCAGATTGGGAGGCTGAGGCAGGTAGATCACGAGGTCAGGAGATCGAGGCCATCCTGGCTAACACGGTGAAACCCCGTCTCTACTAAAAATACAAAAAATTAGCCGGACGTGGTGGTGGGCACCTGTAGTCCCAGCTACTCAGGAGGTTGAGGCAGGAGAGTGGCGTGAACCCGGGAGACGGAGCTTGTGGTGAACTGAGATCACGCCACTGCACTCCAGCCTGGGTAACAGAGCGAGACTCCATCTTAAAAAAAAAAAAAAGCAATCAGAAAGTTTCCCTTCATTTTCAGTGCCCTGGGACAATTTATGGCACATTGGAAACGTTTGGCCAAATTCCTCTGCAAAACCGTCAGCTGCTGTAGCTGCACAGTCTTGAGTGTTCCTGTCCATGAATATGGTAGGTCCCTTCACTCATTTCCATGTTCTTCACTTTCTTTTAGTAATGTTTTGCACTTTTCAGTGCTTGCACCTTTTACAGTTATTCCTATGATTAAAAAATAATTTCCAGTGAGTTTTAATTTTAGGTTTAATTTAGAACTTTTGGACGTAATTTTAAAGAAAAGTTACCAGATTAACAGGAATACTTGTTGTGTATATTTTGCCCAAATTTCCCAAATGTTAACATGTCCCTCATTTGGTTTATTCTTTCTTCCCCTCTCTCTGTCTCTCTGTCTTTCTCTCTGTCTGTCTTTGTTTGTGTGTGTATATATATGTATGATTTTTCTCAGAACTACTTGATAGTGAGTTGCAGATGTGATGCTCCTTGATCCCCAAATAGACAGTGTGTATAGCTACAGCCCAGTGATCCAGATCAGGACATTGACATGGATACAGTAGGCTTCTCCATTCTAAAGGTCGTGTTTGTATTCACAGGAAAAACCTTTTGAATTGTGTTCTTTTTAGCAAAACGTCCTTTCTAGTACCATGAAATCCCAGATCCTGTGTTGGTTTTAGTGATTGTCTCTTTAGCCTCCTTTTATTTCAAACAACACCTCAGTCTGCCTGTCTTTGAGGACATTGACATTTTGAAGATGGCTGGTGAGTTCTTCTCAGTCTGAGTGTCTCTGCTGTTTCTCACAGTCACACACTTTGGGCAGGGAGATCACGGAAGTGATGTTCTTCTGTGCATCGTGTAAGAGGGATACGTGGTGCTGGCTTGTCCCATGGCTGATGATGCTGACTTAGATCATTTGATTAAGGTGATGTCTACCAGCCTTCTCTTATGTAAAATTATTTTCTTACATTTTTAATTAATAAGTATCTCAGGGAAGATCCTTTGCGATGATGTAAATATGCCTTATTCATCAAACCTTCACATACTAGCTTTAACATCTGTTGGACATTCTTACCAGAGTGAATGATTATCCTGATGGTTGCTGGTTCCATCATTCCTTCCACAGTTATTAGCTGGCTTTCTACTCTAAAGAAAAGCTCTTTTTTCCTACTTATTCATCTGTAACAGTGTGGACTGATGGATTTTTATTTTATTCAATGAGTTATACAGTTCTTATTTATTTTAATGCTCAGATTGTCCACATTTGGCCAGGGACAGCCTTTTCAAGCTGGTTCTTGTGTCCTTTTGAGATGCCCCTACCTTTATTTGAGCTTTTCCTTACTCTTTTGCGTAACAGCATGCTCCATGCTCCAGACTTATACTTTCCTGGCTGTAGCCCTGGAGTCAGCCATTTCTCTAAGACATCTTAATATCTCTTGCTTACTGTCGGTGAAGAGTGGTATTTAGGAAGCAAGAGCTCTGTGCTGGGTGTGTCCATTGCTATGGGGGTGTGTAGTGTCTCAGCCCTCTCAGTGGACAAAGCTAGGGAGTAGATGTCTGTCATGTACACACTCAGCTATGTAAATGAGTGTGCCTGTGTGATTATATATACCCACACACATCTATATCTGTATTTCTCTGTGCATCTTAAAAACTATGAATTCACGCTGACTCCTCCAAGTTCTAATCGAGCACCACTGCTTGGCGAGTGAGCGCGGGAGTGCTCAGTGTGGGGGGTAGGATGATGAGGACACGCTCCTCTTCCTCCGTAGCTCGTGGTCCAGCGGGGAGACTGCCGTGAGGGCAGACATCAGGCCCTAGTGCTGGTACAGGGAGAGCACCTGGGAACCCTGAGTGTGGAAGGTGGGGCAGTAGAAAGCATTGCGGCCATGGGATGCCAGGCACCTTATTCTAGATCCGCTTTGTCCCTGTGACCTTGATAAGTGATTTTCCCTCCCCAGGTTTTGTTTTCTCATTTTAAAAATCGAGGTTTCACTTAGAGGATTCCTGGTACAGGTGACTCTTCTTCCTCACCTGGAACCATGCTGTCTGTCATCACTCATCGTCCCCTTTGATCCCCAGACAGGTCCTACACATCTCCACATGAGACTGTGGTCTCACGAGCAGGTGTGGCCAGACGCAGGGCACCATCTGTTGGGCATCCCGGTCTCATGTGAGGGCGTGCGTGGTCTTCACCCTGATATCTCTGGGTCGGTTGGCTTGCAAATCACCCTGAGGGCACATTCATGGGTGGGTGCCATTTTGGTGGATTCTGTGCACAGTGGGCAGTAGAGGGGAGGGTGGTCCAGGGGACATCAGTCACAGCTTGAAGGCTCCTGTGGGGACCAGTTCGTGGTGTCTGGCCCTTATGGTGAGTGGCAGGCTGGGCGGCTCAGGATTCCCTGGGAACGCCTTCTTCAGGTTGTGTTTTCGTGTTCCTACAGGGACCAGTGGACCAAGAGGCCACATTGAAAGGGCTCTGTAGGGGCTGGTGAGAAGCTCAGGGTGGCCTAGGGAAAGGGTGCAGTGGAGCCAGGCTCATGGGGCTGGGGAGGGGCACGAGGCCCCTGTGCACCCTGAATCGGAGCTTTAACCCACATCTCTTCTCCCTCTCCTCTCTGGTTCCTGCCGAAAAGACCACGTCTCCCCAGGCCACCTCCACCGGTGATGGAACGGTATGACATTTTCTTACAGAGGGCAGGGCCAGCAGCCTCCACACTGAGCTGGAGGAACCAGGAAACAGGATCCAGAGGCTCTCCGCTTCCTCACCACGCCCTGCTGTTTCCTCTGGGCCACGTGGTCTTGGGATGGCTCTCCCTGTAGGGCCATCCCTGGCAGATAGCGGTGCACAGGGAGCCACAGCCCTCACACAGCCACGTGGGGAGATGACAGAAGGTCCTCTTCCTTGCTGGTGGCTTGGAGACTGGTCTGTTTGAGCATAGCATGGTGGCTGTGGGCTTCTGGGGGACCAGGACCCCTTCTAGGTGTCTATGCGTTAGGGTGGGGCCAGGGACCCGAGTGTCCAGAGACTTGGAAGTTGGGCTTTGAGTTCCTGCCTGAGACCTGAGAGTGTCTCACATGTTTCATCTCACTGGTCTTCATGCCCACCCTCTGAGATCTCCCTTCTTGGTCCCATTTTACAGATGAGGAAACAGATTCAAGGGCCAGGACTCGCTGGGGCACAGCAGGCTAGAGAGAACCAGCTAGAGGCTGAGCTGGGACGTTTCTAGGTCTTCTGCTCCTGGACTGGGACTGTGCTGTGGTGTGAGTGTCCCCTCCAAAGCTCACTGAAATCCGGTCACCATTGTGACAGTATGAAGAGTGGGATCCCTGAGAGGTGACTGGGTCGTGGTCACTGTCGTATCTGGGGGTGGGCTCCTGATGAGAGGAAGCGCCGGCCCCCGCTTGCTCTCGGCCTCACGTGCTTGTGTGCTCTTCCACCGGAGGCCCCTGCGTCTTGGACTTCCCAGCCCCCGGAACCACGAGCTGAGGCCATCTCTTTTCTTTACAGACTCCCCTGTGTGTGACATTCTGTTACAGCAGCAGAAAGTGGGCTCAGACGGTGTTCTCTGCCTTACACTGAATGCTTTTAGGGATTATACAGAGAAGTCTAAAGAGGCCGAGAATATCCAGGGCAGGGAGGTGACCTACTGCTGTCAACATGGGTCTGTTGAGGCCAAGCAAGGGAGTCAGCTCATTCATGGTGGAGGGACAGCTCCAGCAGCAACCCCTGAGGCCACAGCTCCGCTGGGGTCCTGGGTCTGTCTCTTCCCGCCTGGGAGTGGGATGCCAGATAAGATGCTCTCTTTCCCTGGGACTGCCCCTTCCTGTGCCGCTGTCTGATTGCTGCCTGTGGAGAGGCTGTGTTACAGGGGTGGTGAAAGCTGCGTGCCGGGCAGAGGAGCTGCAGCATGGCCACCTGTGGAGGTTCCCAGTGGGCAGCTGCCCTGCACAGCAAGCTCTCCTGCTGCAGGCGATCAGGGCGCCTCATCCATCATTCAGTTTCTCCTCTTGAACTTTGCAGTTTCATTTTGCCCAGGAAAATGGTTTCCCCCAAAGGGCAGGCTTCGGGGAGCGGAGGTTTGCGCTGTGGTCTCTCCCTGTGGTGGGGCGGGGCCGAGGGCTCCGGAGGTCTGCAGCGGGCGCTGGCCGTTGTGGTCTCTCCCTGTGGTGGGGCGCGGCCGAGGGCTCCGGCAGTCTGCAGTGGGCGCTGGCCGCAGTCTGGCCATTGATCTGGGCGTCTGCTCCCTATGAACTGGCAGCTCCCTCTGTCTTTTCCAGCCTTGTCTGTGGAGCTCGCCTGAGGCTCACTGAGGGAGTGTGAGGGCAGCATGCCCGCCACTGGCCAAGGGCAAGCCCGAGCCTGAGCTCCCTGGGAGCGAGTTCAGCTCCACCCCCGTCACCGTGTTGTTTCCCAGAGGACAGGGGAGGCTGGGGGCTGCAGAAAGCCCGTGCGTGAGCAGCCCAGCTGGGGCCAGAGCCTGCCCCAGGATTCCCTCCGCCACACTGGGTCCGCAGGTGGGCACCGTGGAGGCCACAGGTCGCCCTTGCCCTGGCCCCTTGTCCAGGTGTGGGCCCTGGGCTGCTTTCTGTGCCCTCGCTCCTGGGAGGCAGCGCCACTTCCTGCCGTTGCCTCTGCTGCTGCATGTCCCAGCTGGTGGCTCAGCCCTGGGCTCGCCTGAGGAGCCCGTCCCTGCATTCATGTCCTCCAGCCCGAGTTGTCAGGGGTCTCTGGTGCCCTCACTGACCAGGCACATCCAGTCAGCTGCCCTCATCGTTTCCTCCCCCATGGGACAAGCATGATGCCGCTTTCCTGTCTGTCCCTCTTTGGAGCACAGTCTTCGAGAGCAGGCCAGGTCTGTCTGGAGCTGCTGTGTCCCTGCCATGGTGCCCGGGTCAGAGGTTCAGAGAACGCATGCCCGAAGGTGAAGGAGGGACTGCTGTCCATTTGACAGATGAGAAAACCAAGGGCGGGAGAGCTGATGTGACCTCTGTGGGGCCTGGCCCTGTGAGTGACCTGCTCTCAAGCCAGGCGGAGGGGCTGGGGCTGTTCTGGAAGCCCCGGCCTGGAGAACACTGTTCCCACCTGCTGGGGGAAGGGCAGCCCAGTCTGGATATCCTCT